CTGAGATGCTTACACATTCACTGACTCGGCTTTCCCCCTGCACTGGGCAACATTGCGTGTGTTTTGTGACATGGAGGAGGACTTTGTGGATTAGTGTCGGACATAGGGGCTCATGTTGAAACTGTGGGCTTGGGCAGCACTGGGTTGGGTTATTTTCTTGATGTACACTTTACCTTTATATAAAACTCTCTCTTTTACATGAGTTTCTGTGGATTTGTTTCTCCAATGGACCCAGAATGACAAAACCATGCAGCTAAGTTTTCACACAAAGGATGAAAAGCAACCCTCCTCTATCACATGCCCATGGACACCCATCATCGTGTGTGCTAACAAGGGGGGCCTCTGTACATTCAAAGGGGGGATTTACCAATGGTGTCCTCTTCAAATTCCATCTATGTAGCTTTTTAAGTGGAAACTAACCGACTTAAAATGGGAAAGGGGCACCCTCTTCTACAAATGGCAATGTAAAAGGTGGATAGAGATGGAGATCCAATTCTCCATAAAAACTATTTCTGCATGGGGTCAGGCATGGGCGCTATGTTCTCCTGGTGCAGATGGTGTCTTAATGTGGGTAGACTAGAGAAACCAATCCAGCGAGACTCATATGTGTATAAGAGAGATCTTTATATCAAAGAGTACTTGTATATCAGGAAAACACCCTGGCATAGAAGGACGATACTGATAATTCCATACATTGACTATTACCCCATATGTGCAGTGCCAGTCTCTAAATTCCTCTTCAGTCTCTCACAGCACACGCAATAAGGTCAAATGCAGGAATATCACAGGCCAGTGGGTGGAAAGCCTTGTGGATCCAGTGTTGGTGAAGCATCTCAGTGCTGGTGTGGGCCTCTAAGTGGTTCCTCCAGCTACAGGGCACTGATTCTGTCATTGAAGCTCCATGTGGCTTGCTAGCAGGAATGTCTCACAGGGAGAGTGTGTGTCCCGCTTCCAGGGAGGAACATAGGGGTTCTCAGAATCCTCAAGAGAAGGCCATGCCCACCCAGCGGCATCACTGGCAATGAACTGAATGACAGGCTTGACTCCACCCCCTCACTCCCATTGACAGGAGATGATGTCACTACTGCCACAGATGGAGATCCACTCTCCATTTCCCTGAGATAACCTTTCACATTGAAGGACTCATTGTGTTTCAAACACAGGAAGGAAAATATGACACAGTCCTCGAAGAGCTTCTTAGGACATTTCAGAACATGAATAGATGAAAATCAAGAAGGTCGCCAAAGAGAGAGACAGGCAAACCACAAAGAAATGGCAAGTTGTGAGCATCAGTCTTTTTTCAACAAAATGGATCATTACAAGTGGAAGCAGTTTTCCTAGCTAGGAGAAAAGAATGGATGAAAAGTAGGTACACTCAACCAAACGATTGCAACGTATCCGTGACACATTGTAAGATACATGGAATGTTAAAATGAAAGGTGACCGCTATGGATGGTAAATGACTTGATCTTTGATTGTGCAAAAAAGAAAAGGGGGAATCCAGAGTCTGGCTTGATACATAAGAAAGGGGGCACTGAAGCGTGTGCTACAAACACTGAAGAAAACACAAGAGATACAGGGATAACACACTGGGTATGGAGTCTCCACACATACTCCTGAAAGAAACAGAGGTGATATTAAGGGGGGAGACAATTGGCTTCCTTTTCTAGGATCACGTGTTCTGAACAAGTTGTATTCCATAAACTTTGTTCTTTTTATTTGTTTAAAGGAATTTGGAAGTGCGCAATGTAAGCACTCCAGGAAGGACAGATAGAACTAGAATACATCATTTTGGAACCATTTTCCCCTCAAAAACACATCGAAAGCTTGCATGGAACAAATATTTTCTCACAACTTTGTTGGGGCCCAACTAAAAACAGACTGGAAGAGCCAAGTTCTGAGACATGCTCACCAGTTTCCTGAGTGAAAAACTAATTGTAGAAAAGAAACCGCATGAACGAGGTTCTCCAACTCCGGA